CTTCTTCTTCTTCTTCTTCTTCTTCTTCTTCTTTTATTTTTTTGAGATGGGATTTGGTGCTGTAGCCCAGACTGTCCTCCAGCTCACTATGTAGCCCAGGCTGGCCACACAAACTCACTATAATCCTTTTGTCACAGTCACCTGGGTGTTGGAATTACAGGCATGCACCACTATGTTCAGCTCGCAAATTGGCTTTATCTCACAAAGCAAAAGAGACTGGTTGGTCAGGTCAGTCTGAGGTATATATTTAGAACAGTTACCAGCTGCCTGAGCTTTCAGAGGGAAAATGTGGCGTGTGCTGTGGGTGTCTACATTTGGGCCGATGGGATATGTTCTCAGACTGTGACCTGAAAGAGGGCAAAGCTCAGAGAGGTGGGATGAGTCTTAGTGACTGGGAAGAGCCAGAGCCAGACCCGGCCGGAGCTTTGGGATACCGAGGATTTTCTCCTAGACTGCTGTCTTAGGAGAGATTGCTGCCTGAAGGGCATGGCTTCAGGGGCATTAGGACGTCCCTAGTGTAATCCTATTGATCCCCACTAACCCCCGGCTTTGGTGTCAGGGACTGCAGTAGCAGGCAGGGCTCTCCTGCAGAACAGGATCAATAAGGTGTGAGGGAAGGAACTGAAAAAGTGAGGGAGGTTTCAGCTTCACCATCTTCAGGGCAAGCAGTGGAGACCCCACCAAGGGTTTTATGTTGAGTTCAAGGCCACTGACTAGCAGACTCCTTTCCTCATGAAACAGTTTTTTTTTTTTTTTTCCCCTGTTAGGGCTTTTATCTGGTTGGGAGGAATACATTCACAAGATGGAGGGAAAGGGCTGCTAAATATTAATCTCATCTCGAAGAATGATCTCAGCAGGGGTCTGCAGAGATGGCTCAGTGGTTAGGAGCATTGGCTCCTCTTACAGAGGTGCGGAGTTTAATTCCCAGCAACCACATCGTGGCTCACAACTGTCTGTAACAGACTCTGAAGTCCTCTTCTGGCACCCAGGCATATATTCAGATAGAACACCCATAAACATCAAATAAATCAATAAATCTTAAAAAAAGATGATCTCAGAGGGGTATAGTGGCATGGTCTTGTAACCTCAGAACTTGGAAACTGAAGCAGGAGGATCTTGAGTTTAAGAGAGTCTGGGGTACATAGTAAGTTTGAGTCTAGCCTAGGCTACATAGAGATGCTGTGACTAAGTAATTTACTAACTAGCTAACTAACCAACTAACTAACTTAGTTAATGAATAGACAATACACAAACAGTTAAAAAAAATCACAGAAACATCCAGAATAATGTCTGAATATATACCCAAGTCTATCTGAACCTTGTCCAATTGAACATAAAATTAACCATTGCAGGAGTCAAACCTTTTATGGCAAATGTGTAGGCATTTCCAGGAGATTCCTTTGTCAAGGCTGAGTAGGTTAGAGGGACATAGCTCTCCACTTTCTTATGGGGTTCTGTTGCAAGACTGGGAAGCGTTAAGCTCTGTGTCTGGGTTCTTATGCAGCTGGACTACCTGGTAGGACCACACACCTGTCAATTCTGAGGGTATGTGAGGAGGAGGGAGGTGCTGGAGAATAATGGGAGATGATCACACTTTTAAGAATAAGACAGTGCTTTGAGAGCACAGCTCCCCACAGTGAGGTCCTGGAGCAGGCGCTGTAGGAGCTGCCTCTTATAGGAGGACCAGTTGTGGATATCTTCCTGTTGATAGACAGCTTGCCTAGCACCTGAAAAACCAGGATTCACTCCCCGACATTTTGTAAAACCAGGCACAGTGGGACCCACCTGTAGTCCCTTACCCAGAACTGGAGACAGGAGGATCAGAAGGTCAAAGTCGTCCTCAGCTTCATGGCAAGTTCAAGACCAGCCTGGGATTCATGAAACTGTGTCTAAAAAAAAAAAAAAAAAAAAGAAAAATTACAAGAAATAGAATAGAAAGCCCCCAATTCTTCCATTGTTAATATTACATAGCTCCAAAGTATCTTAGCTAGATCTAAAACATTGATGTTGGCATAGTGTTGCTTCCACCAGAAGTGGTCCACATCTCTGAATATTTTTTTAAATATTTATTATTTAATTGTATGTACGTGCAGGTGACTGCAGAAGCCAGAGTTATTGGATCTCTCTGGAACTGGAGTTTCAAATGGTTGTGAGTCACCTGATATGTGTACTGAACTCCCGGTTCTTTGGAAAGGCATCGAATGCTTTTATTCACTGAGCCATCTCTTCAGCATCCACGTTTCAGAATATTTCTGAATTTAAAAAAATTATGTCTATATATGTGTGGGAGTGGGGAAGGTTGTGCATGTGAGTGCATGTACCCTTGGAGGCCAGAAGAGGGCGCGTTGGACTCCTTGGAGCTGGAGTTACAGGCAGTTGTAAGCTGTTTGCTGGGAACTAAACTCAGGTTCTCTGCCAGTGTAGTGTATGCACCCTTAATGGCTGAGCCATGTTTTCAGTTCTAATCCCACCACTAGGGAGGTCGGGACACATGGATGGGTCCCTGAGGCTTGCTAGCCGCCTAACCTAGCCTCTGTTTGAACTTCAGGTCAATGAGAGATTCTGTCTCAAAAAGCAAAGTGTGTGGTACCTGAGGAACAACACCTGAGGTTGATCTATGGCCTCCACATGTATGTGCACACACACAAGCCTAAAACTTGTTTTTTTAAATTTTATTTTTTATGTGTATGGTGTTTTACCTGCATATATATATCTGTGTACGGCATGTGTGCCTCATGCTCTCAGAGGCCAGAAAAAGGCATTAGATTCCCTGTAACTGGAGTTAAAGATGGCTGTGAGCTGCTACTGTATAGGTGCTGGGAATTGAACCTGGGTCCTCCAGAAGATCAGCCAGTGCTCTTAAACACTGAGCCAGCTCTCTAGATTTCTAAAACTTTTTGAAGTGTCATGTTGGTGGCTCAAAAATGTCAAAATTTGGAGCATTTTGGATTTCATATTTTATCTTCAGGAGGCTGAACCTGCACTGTTAATTTAACTCCAGGTTTTACTTAGATTTGATCATTTTTTCTCGCTAATGTCCTCTTCCTCATCCTCTAGCCCTTCCAATACAGGGTTTCACACTACAGTAAGTTGTCCTGCTTCCCCAGGCTGCTCTGATTCATGACAACTTCTCAGTAGTCTTTCCTGACCCTGATAAAGATGAAGTATATTGGTCAGGTACCTTGCAGAATGTCCTCGCCTGGGGTTGTCCGAGGTTTTTCTCAGGGTTAGACTAGAGTTGGGAGAGTAAAGAAAGAATGGCACAGAGGTGAAGTGCCTTCCCATCACACGACGATCAGAGGATATCACGTGACATCCCCGGGGCACTGGCCTTTATCATTTCGGGTTTCTGGGCTGTGAAGCTGGAGTGAAGGTGAGCAGCATGGGTTATGTAATCAGGAAGGGCTGGAGAGAACATAGTGACAGACATCAGTGTCAGAAAGGAAGGAGAAGGGGGACTCAGGGAGTCGTCATTACAATCTGGTCCAACACCTGCTCATCATGAGAAAGTATGACCGCGGTGGAGCACGGTGGAGGAGTTTGATTTCAGTCTCATCTGAGCCCACAGAGAGCTAACCACTTAGACACAATTCCTTTCTGTGGGTTTTAATGGGGCCTACCCCTAAGAGAAAGCTTGGTTAACATCCATGATCGACCCTCTCTGACAGCTGGCCGTGTTCATTTATTATGCTGTGTGGAAGCCCCAGAAGCAGTGGATCACTCTGGACACAGGGATCTTGGAAAGTCCCTTTACGTACCGACCTGACAAGAGGGAGGAAGCCTGGAGGTTTATCTCATACATGCTGGTCCATGCTGGGTAAGGAATGATGGCCAAGTTAATGGTATCAGAAGAGATCATAAGTAATTGTTAGGCCAGACAAGGTGGTTCATGCCTGTTGTTCTAGTACTTGGGAGCCAGGGCAAGAAGATCATGACAAGTCTGAGGCCAATATGACCCACACATTAAATTTCAGGCCAGCCAGTCACATAGCCAGACTCTGCCTTAAAAGACAAACAAAAACAGGGTGTGTGAGTGATGACTCAGAGGGTAAAGACACTGGCCAAACTCAACAGCCTGAGTTTGATCCCCAGAACCCACATGGTAAAAGGAGAGGACTGACTCCTGCAAGTTGTCTTCTGACACACACACACACACACACACACACACACACACACACACACACGCATGCACTCATGCACTCACACACAAATATAATAAGATTATACAGGGTGTAGTGGAGCACAATTTGAATCCCGGCACTAGAGAAGCAAAGGCAGGTGGATCTCTAAATTGTAAGCTGGCTTGGTTTACACAGAATTCCAGGTCATTCATGACTACATAGTAAGACCCTGTTAGGGAAGGGATGGAGTGAAGGAAGAAAGACAGAGAAACAAAAAACAAAAAAAACAACAAAATTTCCACTAATCTGTTTGTAACTTTTGTTGTTGTTGTTATCATTAGTGTGTGTGTGTGTGTGTGCGCGCGCGCGCGCGCGCCATGTGTGCTCTGGTGCCCTCGGAAGCCAGGAGTGCTATGCTCTGCAAAGCTGTCTAATGTTGGTATTGATATAGGAATATTAATGAGCTGAGACCAAAGCACTGTCAAACCAAAAGTAGGTCACCCTACCTGTTGGACGTCATCCAGTGGTCCATTTAGGTAATGAAGTAGTAGAACTGAATGGCCAGTCTGCCTCCCCAAACACACTCTGTAGAAAATTAATTTGTGAGCATTCTGACTTACGTGTATATGTCGGGGGTTGGTCTGATGCTTGTGTTTTGATGCTAATTACTGGCTCTTGAGATGAGGGTCACTGCTCTGTTCTTGTGTAAACCTGCCTAAGATATTATTCCTGATTAGTTAATAAAAAAAAGCCTGTATCTGGACAAGGCTGGAAGAAGGGTGTGGGGCTAAGGATCAAGGGCTTGGAGGACAGACAGACAGGAAGAGAGGAGGAAGGAGGACACCATGATGGGTCAGCCTGGAGAAAGAACCATGTGGGCCAGGAGGAAGGACTCCAAGGATGGCGTGGATGCAAGTATTTATGAGATTATGGAGGAATGGTAGCCCAGATAAGATGGTTAAGGCAGATGGCATTGGATGGGGGCTGGGAGATGGATGGTGAGGTTATTGAGACAGTGTAGGTGAAATATCTGCCCAGCCCAAGGTAAATAAGGCAATTAAAAAAAAAATCGAACAGGTGTCTGTGTCTTATTATTTTTGATAGTGTGTTAAATAATGCCACTGTAGTAATTATGGGGCTAATAATGAACACTATCTAGCTCAACACATTTTATTTACAACAACAGTAGTATAATTTAGCTCACGCACTACCTATCAGTTAAATAGTAGTGTAAGGAGGCATAGAAACAGTGCAGATGGAGCTGGAGAGAAGGCGCAGCAGTTAGGGATGCTGGCTGAGCACAGCCTCACATGTATCTGCTATCCCCATACGGTGACGGGAAGACTGCTGGTGCTTGCTAGCTACCAGCCTAGCTGAATAACACAAGCTTCAAGTTCAGGGGGAGAGACCCTGCCTCAAAGGAATAAGGTAGAGAGAATGGTGGAGGAGACCCAGTACCTAACCTCAGTAGGTGCAACTACATAATACCTACACACCACACACACACAAATGAGGGAAGGGAGCAAGGTAAAAAAGATGGGTAACAAAAACAGGAGAGGCTCTGTTTGACTTCCAGCTTTGTTTACTTTTTCTTTCCTTTCTCTCTTTTTCTTTTCCTTCCTTCCTTCCTTCCTTCCTCTTTCTTTCTTTCTTTCTTTCTTTCTTTCTTTCTTTCTTTCTTTCTTTCTTTCTTTCTTTCTTTCTTTCCTTTCTTTCCTTTCTTCCTTTCTTTTTCTTTCTCTCAAGACAAGGTTTCTCAGTATATCCCTGGCTGTCCTGGAACTCATTCTGTATTTGTTTACAGTTTCATAAATGTGAGAGCCTTTCCAGACCTCGCTCAAAACCAGGTGATGGCACATGTCTGCAGTCTCAGTATGTGGGAGGCAGAGACAGGAGAATCAGGAGTTCAAGGCCAGCATAGGCTACACATCTCAAAAAAAAAAAATCATCTATGGTCCTCCATGTCCACTGTGGTCAGCAAATAACTTGTGGCTCTCTCACTTCTTTGGGGGAGCCCTGTGGTATCAGGTGAATTGAGCTTCATCCATGTAAGCCACCTCACGCTGGTTCAAAATGATCGTATTACAAGGCAGCGTGTAAGGGCTTGGTGTTGAGGGTACAACCCACAGCTTCATGTTTGCTAAGCAAGAGCTGTACCTACTTTCTGAGCTTCAAGAACATCTCTCAAATTCTCCTCCTCCTCCTCATTATTATTGTTATTATTATTATTATTTAAGACAGGGTCTTACTATGTAGCCTGGATGGCAAGGAGCTCTGTAGACCAGGCTGGCCTTGAACTCATAGAAATCCACCTGCCTCTGCTTCCCAGGAAATGGGATTAAAGTTATGCTCTACCATGCCTGGACTTCAGTCTTTTCTTTTGATTTTTCAAGACAGCTGTCCTGGGCTAGCTTTGTAGACCAGGCTAACCTCGAACTCATAGAGATCTGCCTGCCTCTGCCTCCCAGGACCTGGGATTACAGGCTTCATTCTTTAAGTCAGCTTCATTGGTCTTTGTTTCATGTTGTAGTTGTTGTAAAACAGAACTTATAACATACATTCATATTGCTAAGAGGCTTTTATTTGCTTTACATATCGAAGCTTCATGTAAGATTTTATTTAAAAACAGATAAGAGAAAAAGCAAAACAACAAAACAGATAAAAGAGTTGCCTGCTTTGACACACTAGACTATAGGAGCTAGAGAGATGGTTCTGTGGTTAAGAGTGCTTGCTGCTCAATCATGAGGCCTGCAGCTTGGATCCTAAGATTCACATGGAGCCTTACAGCTTCTGTGCCTCTGGCTCTAAAGGATCTGGAGCCCTCTTCCGGCCACCAAGGGGACATTCTCTCTCTCTCTCTCTCTCTCTCTCTCTCTCTGAAATAGAAAATAAAATTCCATCAAGTTCTTAACTAGAAATATCACATGCAAGTCTCCCATGACAGCCTCTTGCTGCTTGGATATCTGATCCATGTTTGTCTCTGCAGAGTCCAGCATATCGTGGGAAATCTTTTTATGCAGCTCGTTCTGGGTATCCCCTTGGAAATGGTCCACAAAGGCCTCCGAGTGGGGCTGGTATACCTGGCAGGAGTGTTGGCAGGTCAGTGCTCTGAGGGTGACATGGAATCAACACTTCTGGGCCCTTAGGATGGAGACCAAACATAACAGGTGAACTTTTTACTAAAGTCAGTATTTATTGCCTTCTAGCATATTATGTATAGGTCAGATAATATGCTAGGGAGTATGGTAAGTATTACAGATAATTTAACCAGAGGTTAAATGTTAGACATAGTACAAGCACATGAAGATAAGTCACGGTGGCCGTCCTCAAATATCTCGCATTCTCGTGGAATTTATACAGCTTGCAACTTCAAGCAGCTTGGTGTTTGGATCTTGAATCCCCTAAAATGCTACAGTAACGATTATGGAAAGTAACACAGCCAGATTTGCATTTAAGAAAGACATTTTGCCGGGTGTAGTGCAAGATTTTAATCCCAGCACTTGGGAGGCAGAGGCAGGTGAATCTCTGAGTTCTGGTCTACCTAGCAAGTTCTAGGATGGCCAAGGCTACATAGATGTCTCAACAAACAAACAAACAAACAAACAAATGCCTTAATCTTGAGAAAGCTATAGATTTACATGAGTTATAAGAAATAATACCTCAAGATCCCAAGGACCTTTGGCCACTTGTCCTCATGTCACCATCCTGTAAATTTTAACATAGCAACACAAGGAGGATAGTCACAGTCATGCAATCAAGATAGCAAATACCCACAACTCCCCAGGTGCTCTCAGTACCATATCATGGCTCAACCTCTTTCTTCCCACATTCCTCCTTTATCATTGATAAGCACTAATCTGATCTCACTTCTTTACTTGTGTCATTTCAGGAATGCACACTTTTTTTTTTTTTTTTTTTTTTACTGCTGAGCAGTTATGGTCTTATCTAGCTGGTCACCCTTGAAGAATATCTGGGTTGTTTTACCCTTTTCCCTATTGATGTTTGAGAGAGGATCTTATCTGGCCCAGGTTGGCTTTTTTAGCCTGATCCTCTGATCCTCCTCCCTCCACTACCCAATATGTGCGATTTTAGATTTATGTGGTACTGGGGATTCAGCAGTTTTCTGAATGCTATGCAAACACTCTCCTGAACTGCATTCCCAGCGTGCTTTCTTTCTTTCTTTCTTTCTTTCTTTCTTTCTTTCTTTCTTTCTTTCTTTCTTTCCTTCCTTCCTTCCTTCCTTCCTTTCTTCCTTCCTTCTTTCCTTTTTCTGAGACTGGTCCCATCATTCAAGCGGCCTAAGAACTCTCTAATGTAGTCTGACCTGGCCTCAAACATGAGATCCTCCTGCCTCAGCCTCCCAAGTGCTGACATTACTGGCATGAGCCATGTCTTGGTTAGGGTTTCTATTGCTTCAATGTAACACCATGAACAAAAAGCAAGTTGAGGAGGAAAGGGTTTGTTTGGCTTACACTTCCATGTCACTGTTCATCACTGAAGGAAGTGAAGGTGGGAAGTCAAGCAGGACAGGAAGCTGGAGGCAGGAGCTGATGAAGAGGCCGTGGAGGGATACTGCTCACTGGCTCACTCATCATTGCTTTCTTTGCCTGCTTTCTTATAGAACTCAGGATCACCAGCCCAGGGGTGATCTGGTCTGGGCGCTCCCACATCCATCACTAAGAAAATGCCCCACAGGCTTGCCTACAGCTGATCTAATGGAAGCTCTTTTTTTTTTTTTTTTTTGAGGTTTCGTCCTCTCAGATGATTGTAATTTGTGTCAAGTTGACATAAAATTATCCAGTGCAAGCCACCACATCTGGTGCTTTTTTCCCCTTTCCTGTGTAGCCTTTATTTATTTTCAAATAAGATCCTCTGTTTTCCAATAATGTTCCTGGGGATTGGACGTCAACCTGTGGCTTAAGGATTACAGTTCAACTCAATTTAGTGTTCACTTTTTTTCCTTTTTTTTAGCCAATGGGGAGGTGTTTGTCAACTGCTGTATGGGAGGATTCCTGGAGGTAGCACACAGTGGCAGTTGACAGTAGTGTGTGTGGACAGCAGGCAGCAGTCTTGAGCTACAGTAAACAGAGAGCTTTAAAAGGGTTTAGCTTCTGGGTGGTGGTGGTGTATGCCTTTAATCCCAACACTCAGTAGGTAGAGGCAGGCAGAGCTCTGTGAGTTCCAGGCCAGTCTGGTTTACAAAGTGAGTCCAAGATAGCCAAGGGTATACAAAGAAACTCTGTCTTGAAAACAAACAGAAGGAAAGAAAGAAAGAAAGAAAGAAAAAGAAAGAAAGAAAGAAAGAAAGAAAGAAAGAAAGAAAGAAAGAAAGAAAGAAAGAGACACACACACGGAGGGATAGAGAGAGAAAGAGAGGGGGGAAGAGAGAAAGAGAGGCTTAGCTTGGTATCTAGTCTCCCCATCCTTTCTTTCTGCATCTTTTTGTCCTGTCCTTGAATGCAGAGGTGTGGACTTGCATGCCTCCTGCGTCTATTGTACATTCCACCTCTGCTCATGGCTTGATCTGAGCCCGTCGACTTAGCTCTGCCCAGCACCAGAGCAGAAACCCCATGGGAGCATGGGAACAAATTTTCAGATTCTCTGTTGATTCTGGCCATTGCCTCTTGGTAGATTTCTCTTACCGTTCAGATCTGTGCTTCCCACTGCTGCTGAGAATCATCTTCCGCAAACAGACTACTTCCTAGCAATTCACAGTGGTCAAAAGAAAGGCAAGATGCCACGAAAGCTCCTTGTAACCCTTGCCTGCCTGGCCAAATTGCCTTCCCTACTTTGCCTTTTCTCCTTACTTTCCATCTGCAGTGTCACCCTGGGTTCTGCTTACACTTGCTGCCTGTGAGGTGTGTCCATGGATCCACAGAAGAAACTGTTAAGGCAGAGTGTTGGGCCAGACCAGACCAGACAAGACCAGATAGTTAGAATTCTCTCTTTTTTAATAAATTCACAGGAGCACATTGAAGAGTGAGCTGTACCATCCACCCCCAGCCCAACACCCCCAAGCTGACTGGTGGTCAGCTTCATCTGAAGAGCTCAGTACACGTAAAGCCTCTCAGATCCCACCAGACCTACTGACTCACTCTCTGGGGACGTGGCCCGGGGACCCATGTTGTGTAGGGCATAAGACAGTGAAGCAGACCGTTTCTACATCCTCTGAACTTCCACAGACTCATAGTTTAGTATGGTCGGTCTTTTTTAAATTGTTTAACTCATCTGCCCAGTTACATTTTTTGTTTACATTTTTTTTTCTTTCTTTTAAGTTTTTTGAGACAGACTTTCTCTGTGTAGCTTTGGCTGTCCTAGGATTACAGACCACTGCACTCAGCTTGGTTCACATTTTTTTTTTTTTTTGAATGTAACTGTATAAGACATGCAGATATTTTCTCCTTGTTTGGATCTTGTCTTTCAGTCCCTGTTTGGTTTTTGGCATGGCAGGGATTCGAGCCACTGCCTACATGCTTGCTGGGCAAGGCTGTATAGCCAAGCTACATCTGCAGCTTCTTTTCTTTCCTCATCCCTCACTTCTTATGAACTTACTTTGTCTTCCTGTGTAGTTTGTCCATTTTGGCTTGTGAGATGGAGAATAACATTAACAGACTTTCCAGTGTTAAAGCAAGCTTGCTTTTGGGAGGACACTTGGTCATGGTACATTATAGATGATCGAATTCAATTAATTAAAAATTTAAAATATTCTGTTTTTAATTATGTGTATGTGTGTGGTTATGTATATGAGGGCAAGCGCCAGCTGAGGTCAGAAACAGGGTTGTCTCTGCTTCCCCTTCTTTTCCTCCGCTTCCGTCTCTCCCTCTCTCCCTCCCTCCCTCCCTCCTATATTTTCTTCCTTCCTTTGCTGGAGATTGAACCCAGGGCACTTATCAATCTATGAAGGTGCTCTCCCACTGAGTCACATGCCATGGTCACGAGTGTAGTTTTCTTGCAACGTCTTTCCGTGTTGAGCACTAAAGCGATGCTTGCTTCATACAACAAGTGGGAGAGTGTCTTAGCCTTGTAAGTGGTATGGAGAAGGCTCAGCAAAATTATGATCGAAGGAGGCAGTGGTGCTGGGACTCAGCCAGAGCCTTGCACATAGCAGGTAGAGTAGGGTGTATTCCTGTAATCCTAACACTCAGGAGATGGAAGCAGGGAGATCAGGGGTTGGAGGCCATCCTCTGCTACATAGCAAGTTTGTAAACAGCCTGTTATGGTTTAGGAACAGCTGAACACTGACCACTCAGACACCAGACTCAGGCATATGGAAGTTTACTGAATGCTTAGCGAAGTCTGACTAGTCAGTGGGACAGTCTGGATTCGGGAACCAAGGCTGTGACCCTGAGCTGTTCTCAGAGTGAGGTTTTAAAGGAAAGAATCAATTCTATTCCAGGTACATTGTGCATAGGTAGCTAGATAAAGCATTGTAGGCTGATTGGCTGGGATTTAGGGCGGGGGAACTTGGGGACTTTTCAGTTCCCCACTATTGTAAGAGAAAGGAATATAGCATGGTATTGGGTATTGTTTAAGTAGAGCACACATTTATCATTAATTCAAGTGGAGCATATTTATCATTTCTGCGATTATTTTATTATTGTAAGTTACAGGCTATTCTTATGTCAGGCAGGCAGAGCCTGAGAACTTGAACTTAATTTCACTTTATGATCAAAATGGAGATTAAAAACAAAATGGCTGCAGTTATGCTAAAGGATAAAGCAGGTCTCAACAGGTTTATGTGAGACACTGTGTCAAAAACCTAAACCAACAACCAACCAACCAACAAACCCCAGCAATAAAGCCATCTCAGCCTATAATTTGTTTTGTGGAAAGATTTTAATGTTTAATTCAATTAATTTTTTTTAAATCAGGCCAGATGTGGTAACATACAACTTTAATCCTAACAACTCAGGAGGCAGAGGCAGGCAGATCTTTGTGAGTTCAAGGCTAGTTTGCTTTACGTAGTGGGACAGCAAGGCTACATAGTAAGACCTTGTTTCAAAACTAACAAAAGCAAAACAAAAACACCAAAAACCCAATAAAATCTGTTTATTATATTTTTATTACCTGGTGAATTTGCTGTGGTATAATTTCTCCATTTATTTTGTTTCATTCTTGGTTTTTGAGACAGGATTTCCCTATGGACCAGACTAACTTCAAACTTGTGGCGGTCCCGCCTCTGCTGCTCTTGTGTTGGGATTAAAATTACGTGTGTCTATGCCCAACTTCTCATTCTATTTGTGTATATATGTATTTAGAGTATGTGTGTCTTCGAGAGTACCATGGTATGCCTGTTGAAGAGATGTTTCTTCTCCTCCTCTTCCTCTGTCACCTCTTTCCCTCCCCTCCCCCGTCCTTTTCTCACATGAAAACTTCTGGGAAAGTCCTTCCTTCCCGAGGGCTTCCTCAGCGCAGCCTTTATCTTTAGGAGTATGGGTGTTCTGCCTGCCTGTATAGCTGGTCCACCACGTGCATGCAGTGCCTGCAGAGACCACAAGAGGGCATCAGAGCTTCTGGAACTGGAGCTATGGTTGGTTGTGAGCCACTATGTACATGCTGCGAACCAAGCCCAGGTTTTCTGGAAGAGCAGCAGGTGCTCTTACCGGCTGAGCCCAACCTCCAGCCCTGAGACAGTCCTTTTTTCACACAAAACAAAGATTGTATCACATCCTAAGGAATGAAGAGAACCATGAGAGGAAGATACCAAATAGTACGAGTAAGAAGTATAGAGAAGACATCTCAATGCTCACGGTGTCCTCTTTTGGTCCAGGTGTGTAGGACCAGGTTAGAAAATGAGTTTCATCTTGCTTGGAGAATGGGATTGAACTTTGTGTTAAGAAGGATTCTGAGGCCGCCTCTAGAACATGAGATGGCTCAGTGGGTGCAGCTCTTTTCTAAAATTATGGGAGTTAAGAACACAGAGCGTGATTTATGACACTCAGGCGTTTTTGTGTTTGTGTGTATGAATATATGGGGCTTCTTTTTTAAGATTTTATTTTATGTTTATGAGTGCTCTATCTGCATGTACGCCTGCATCCCAGAAGAGGGTACTAGATTCCAACATTGATGGTTGTGAGCCGCCATGTGGTTGCTGGGAATTAAACTCAGGACCTCTGGAAGGGCAGGCAGTGTTTTTAACCTCTGAGCCATCTCTCCTGCCCATATATGTTGCTTTTAAAAACAAAATTGCAAAGGTCTGAGTTTGCCAATTAAAACTCAGGAGCCAGATACTGCGGTGAAAAACCTACCAGCTCAGAGAGGCAGCTGATTTTCCTACTCAGCCGCCGTCCCAGAAGACAAAAGCCTTCCTACTTAGCTCACATCCCAGAAGGAGAAGGCCAAAAAGACAAAAGCCCCTACTACCTCTCCACATTGCCTTAAATTTCCCTCTCAATGTCCCTCCCTACTGTTTAACCTGTTAGCTGGTTTCTTGCTCCACCTCTTGACCCTAGGGTTACCTTTAATCCTATGTACAGAAAGATCTTGGATTAAAGGTGTTTGTTAGGGTGGAGCCACACCAAATGAGAAACGGGTTTTTACAGTTCACAACCTTGGGGTTCACAGCGGGACCAAACATCCTGCAACATGTGTATGTGTGGACTCCTGTGCAGGTCGGAACAGACTTGTTGAAGCTGGCTCTCTCCTTCCACCACTTGGGTCCCAGGGATCACACTCAGGCTCTCAGGCTTGGCGGCAAGTTCTTTTACCAGCTGAGCCATCTCACTGGCCAGGTTGAAACAATAGCTAGCAAGGCTACAAAACACATCCCACAGTGCTTTCCTGTGATACATGTATCGATTGTTTTGCTTCCCCTCACAACCTATTGGGAACTGTTTTATTGGTATTTACACATTACAGACAGGAGAGGTTAAATAATATCCTTGAGTCATAGTTAGTGATTCTGGCTCCAGAGTGTGAGCTCTTGTGTCTGTTTTAATGTTTCATTTCTTTTCCTCTTCTTTTTGTTTTTGTTTTTTAAGGCAGGGTTTCTTGTGTAGCCTTGGAGGTCCTAGAACTAGCTCTGCTGGCCTTTAACTCACAAAAATCCTCCTGCCTTTGCCTCCTGAGTTGCTGGGATGAAAGGCATGCACCACCACTGACCAGCTTTTATTGCATTCCTAATAAATGTTTAAAGTTTCAGAAACATTGGGAAGGTTAACAGGCATGCCTGAGTCTACATGGCATACAAGGGCAAGGTTTCCGGAATCGTTGCTTGATAACATGGAAATGTTCAAAACTTCCCACATTTTAGATTTTCTTTTAATCCTTCTTTATTCACAATCCTTAGAGTTCCATCTGATCTTTTGTATTTTGTTTCTCCAGGTTCCCTTGCCAGCTCCATTTTTGATCCCCTTAAGTCTCTTGTGGGTGCTTCAGGAGGAGTCTACGCACTGATGGGAGGCTATTTTATGAATGTTATAGTGGTAAGAATTTGGGGAACGGAAGTTTTAAAGACAGGGTCTCATGTAGCCCAGGATAGTCTAGACCTGATAAGTACCAGAGGATGGCCCTGACTTTGATCCTCACCTGGATTCTGGGTCTTTGCCCCCTACATGCCAAAGTTACAGGCATGTACCGCCATACCCCATTTCTGGATTTTAAAAAATGCTTCCTTTGTTATGTGTGTACTTTACCTGCGTGTGCAAATTGTGTGCGTGTTAGACTCAAACCTGGATCCTCCGGGGCCACCTCTCCAGCTCCCGGAGGACTTTGGTTTTTGTTTTCTTTATAAATGAATAGTTGTTTGATTCGGGGAAACCTGATTTATTGACATTTACTGAGTTCTTATGAGCTGAGACTATTTTGGCCACTAGAAAAAGAAAACTCTAAGTCAAACCGTATTTTGACTTATTGAGTTGCTTCTCCCTTCCTTTCCAAACAATAAAGGAGCTAAAGTCCAGTTAAAAATAACATCCTCAGGCCAGTGAGAAGACTCAGCAGGTAAAGGCACTTGCCACCAAACTGGGACACAAGTTCAATCCCTGAACCTACGTGGTGGAAGGAGAGAAACAATTCTCATGTTGTCTTGTGATCTCCACGTATGAGGCATGGGCGTACACACACACACACACACACACACAATCACACAAGTGCACACACATATAGACACATTCAGAATCACACACACAATCGACAGACATACACTACTTTTTTTAACTACCACAGGGTAAAAGGGTGAAATAGTAAAAGAATGTTAACCAGAAAGCCAAGAAGTATTTTACAGACTTATCTCCCCATTTACTGACATGTTAAATGTTGATTTCATATTACTTATATTTAATTACTGGCTAATGAAATTATGTAATTTACATTATAAAATTAAACATTATGTCTTGTTTTATGCTCCAAAGAACAGCAGGTTTGTCCTCCCCTAATGCATTTTATTTGTTATGCATACAATGTTGTGTTTGCATGTACACCTGCATGCCAGAAGAAGGCTCCAGATTTCATTATAGATGGTTGTGAGCCACCATGTGGTTGCTGGGAATTGAACTCATGACCTCTGGAAGAGCAGCCAGTGCTCTTAATCTCTGAACCATCTCTCCAGGCCCCCCACCAATGCATTTTAAAACTTGGCTGTTGCAACTATGGTTTGCCTTCCAAATATCTGAGAAATAAACATTGCTTTAAGCTGGGTGTGGTGTTCCACACCTTTAATTGCAGCACTCAGGAGGCCGAGGTAGTACAATCTCTGTGAGTTTGAGGCCAGCCTGACCTATGGAGTGAGTTCCAGACAGGCAGGGCTACAGAGAAACAGTCTTGAAAAACAAGCAAAACAAACAAACAAAAAAAAGAAAAAGCAAATGAAGAGAGAGTAGTAGTGTCGAGATGCCATTTGCCAACAGTTTGTATTATTATTACTTCTTTCCCAGAATTTTCGAGAAATGATTCCTGCCTTTGGGATCTTCAGGCTTCTCGTCATCATTCTGATAGGTAAGTGAGCTCCATGGGCACTTTACAGCCACAATCTCATCTTCAGCCTTCATTGGAAGGGTTTCTTGCGGTTCCCTACCCTACCAGGAGGAGTGATTGATGATTTATTGTTGGGAAGAACTGTCCGCTGGTAGAGGTGCCTTGGTGAGGTGCCAGGACAAGCTCTGGGTGTGCCCTATGCCTCTCACAATAGCTTTACTTAATATTTTCTGTTCTGGATTCTGGTTTTGTCTGCAAAGGAAAAGCTTGGAAACTACTGAGATAATCCATCTTCTTCCTAAATTTCTCAATTTTCAACTTGTGGGGATGTAGGAGAGAAGCTTGAGGTTTGCTCATGTAGAGCAGGATGGCCTTGAACTTGCTATGTAGCAGAGGATGACTTTGAACTCCTCATTCTTTGGCCCCCACCTCCTGATCACTAAGATTATAGACACGTGCTATCATACATGGATTTATACAGTGCCAGCCATCCAGCTCAGGGTTTTCTGCACTGTAGGCAAGCACTCCACTAAGTGAGCTACAGCCACAGTCTGTGTCTTGGCTTCTGTGAGGATAAGATGCCACCATCACCCTCACTTGGATTGGTAAGGCAATCCTCTACCTGGTCTCTGCTCCTGTTCTTGCTTCTTTCCCCCCTAACAACCAGAATGGCCCTTCCCCGACACCAGCAAAGCAAAGCAAACCAAAACTCTCATCAGCTCCATGTCATTTATCCCCCAAATCCTCAAAGCCTTCCTGTCACTCAGATGTCAAAGTCAAATATTAATGTCCCTGCCTCACAGGCCCCTGCATATCACTCCCCAGCTCCTGGCCCCGTCACCTACCTCTTCATCCTTAATTCAAGTCCAGAATTGTCAGAAGTCTTTCTGAGACACAGGAGGCTTACCCTTGGCCTCAATTTCTCACTTACCTCTCTAGGATGATCCAGAGAATTTAATTTTTTAATACGTTCCTGATGCCAAGTATCATGCTTCCTGCCTATAATGTCCACTTCATTAGGCTGTTAGGAGAATTAATGAGTTAATGGAAGGAGAACTCTGAGGACAGCAATTGGCGCAGCAGCTAAGAGAGTGCTCTGTGTGCATATACGGTGCAGGCCAGGAGAAGGCATCAGATCAGATCTCATTGTAGATGGTTGTGAGCCACCATGTGGTTGCTGGGAATTGAACTCACAACCTCTGGAAGGCCAGCCAGTGCTGTTAACCGCTGAGCCATCTCTCCAGCCCCCAAAACAAGACATTGCTAAGGGGAGCAAATCTCTGCCCAATGTGGAAATCCTAGGCTTCACTGTGTGTCTTCTCTTCTAGTTGCATCAGACATGGGATTTGCTCTCTACAGAAGGTTCTTTGTCCCTGCAAATGGGTCTCCGGTGAGTTTACTTTCTTTCCTCCCTTCCTTTTTATATTTGTTGTGTGTGTGTGTGTGTGTGTGTGTGTGTGTGTGTGTGTGTGTGTGTGCGCGCGCGCGCATGTGAGAGTGAGTGCACGTGCACACATACGTTTTTGCTGTGTATGTGGAGGTCAGAGGCCAACTTGCCCACCGTCCTGCCTGTCTCTAACCTCACCATAGGGATTCTGAGATTACAGATATGCACTGCTGTATCCAGCTTTCTTACAATATTCACTGCTGTATCCAGCTTTCTTACATGGGTTACAGGGCTCAAACTTAGGTCATCAGGCTTTTGAGGAAAGAGCTTTTACCTGATGAAACATCTCTTTAGCCGCAATTTCTTTTCTTTTTCTTTTTTTTTTTTTTTTTAAGAAAAACTTATTCTTCCACAGGTGGTGCTGGTGCACACCTTGGATCCCAGCTCTTGGAGGCAGAGGCAGGCAGATCTCTAGGAGTTTGTGACCAGCATGGATTACAGAGTGAGTCTAGGACAGCTAAGGCAACACAGAGAAACCCGAAAAAACAAAACAAAACAAAAAAACCTCAAAAACCCTAAACAACAACAACAAAGCCATTTATTTTCCCATCGAAAAGAGTCATCCTGTAATCTCAGCACTTAGGAGAATGAGGAAGGAGGGATCAAGGCCATCCTAAGCTACATAGCAAGTTCAAGGGCAGCCTGGGCTGCATGAAACTGTTTCAAAACAACAACAATAACAAAAGAAAATAAATGAACAAGCCAAAAACGAATATCAAATAGATATTACAACTCCAATTTAAACTAGTCAAATAACCATTTGGAAGCTAAAAAATAAAACAAAACAACAACAACAAAACAATAAGGTAGATCTGGGGAGATGCCTCAATGGGTACAAACCGCCAGCACTCAGTCCTTGGTGACCAGCCTATATTCCCGGCCCTGGGTAAGTGGAGACTGGGACCCCTAGGAAAAGCTGAGCAGCTAGTCTACTCAAATCACTGAGCTCTTATTCCAGTCTTGGGAGGCAGAGGCAGGAGGATCTTTGTGAGCTTGAGACCTGGTCTGCATAGTGAGTTCCTGGACTAATTAGAAAGATTCTTAGAGAGAGACCCACCTCAAAATATAAAGTGGCTAGGAGGAGAGGTGGCGGAGGAGAGCAGCTGGCCTCTGGCCTCCATACGCTCACGTGCGCTCGCATATTCATGTGTACCCGCAGACGTGCGAACATGCACATGCAACACATGTAGATGCACAACCAAAGAACAAAGCAAAAATTACAAGGTCCCAAGGAAGTCAGAGGTCAGATTGTCTGCCCTTGGGCTCTCATTGTCGTCTGCAATGCCATTCAAAAAATAGGTGACAAGGGCCTCCCCTGCCCACAGAGAATTCAAAGCAGACTGGGAAACTGGATGTGGTGGCTTATCCTTATAATCTCGGCACTTGAGAGGCAGAGGCAGGAGGATCAGGAAAATCAAGGCTATCCTCAACTAATAGTTGAAGGCCAGAATGAGATGTATGAGGCTGTCTTTTTAAAAAGTGGATCAGAATAGAGCAATGATCTGGATAGAGGTAGCCTTTAATCTCAGAACTTGGGAGACAGAGGCAGGTGGATCTCTGTGATTTTGAAGCCAGCTTGGTCTACAGAGAGAGTTCCAGGACAACCAAGGTTACACAATGAAACTCTGTTTGGTGGGGAAAAAAAGAATATAGTAATAAAAATTTGTGTCTAAGTATACTATAAAGAAAGATGACAGCCAGGCATGGTGGTACACACCTTTGATCCCATCACTCAGGGAGGCAGGTGGATCACTGAGTTTGAGGCCAGCCTGGTCTACCAAGTTCAGGACAGCCAAGGCTACACAGAGAAACTCTCTTAGGAAAAACAAACAAAAAAGCTGACAAAAGTAATTTTCAGATTTGCTGCAGTTCTTAAATGTGGTAAGTTTTTAAAACTGTTTTTGTTAATTTAATTCTGCACCTCATTTCAATGATTACTGACAACAGAGACACCTTATTGCCTCTCCCATCTCCGTCTCTTGGCTGGCTTTATATAAAGGGGCATCCCAAATGTAAAGCTGATAAAGAGAATAAGAGTCACAGTGGTTCTGTCCTGTGTGCTTAAGAGAGTGGCTGAAATGGCATGTTTTATTAGGGTTGGTGGGTCACACCTATAAGCTTAACACCGAGGAGACTGAGGCAGGAGGATTTCTGTGAGTTCTAGTCTAGCCAGGGTTATACAGAAAGACCTTGTCTCGGAGGTGGAGAGAAAATGCTGGGCTGGCGAGGTGGCTCAGGGTGTGTGGTGTTTCCAACGGGAGCCTGTAAACCCGAGTTCAGTCCCAGAAGCCATGTGAGGGTAGGAGGAGAGACTCAGCCTCAACGCTGCCCTCCTCATGTTCTCTGTGGCATGAGCCTCGCAGCATAACACATATACACAGTAATAAAAAGTCATATAAACAAAGACTGTTTTTCTAGACAGGGTTTCTCTGGCTCTGGCTCTGGCTCTGGCTCTGGCTCTCCTGGAACTTGCTCTGTAGTCCAGGCTGGCCTTGAACTAGGTGATCCACCTGCCTCTGGGTGCTGGGATTAAAGGTATACGCCACTACACCTGGCAACATTTTTTAAGCTTTAGGTACTTTACTTACAGCCTCACCTTGTCTTGGGGACAAAGGGTTGTGTCCTATCTTAGCCTGAGACCCATCCTCTAACAGCGTGATATTTGTACTGGAGGAGCTCCATAGCGTTTTCTTCACCCATTTCTGTATGTTTTTTTTTTTTTTTCTCCCTTTCTCCAAAGGTGTCCTTCGCCGCTCACATCGCAGGAGGATTTGCTGGGATGTCCATTGGTTACACTGTGTTCAGCTGCTTTGACAAGACCCTGCTCAAGGACCCCAGGTTTTGGATCTCAATTGCTGCGTATGGAGCTTGTCTCTTATTTGCTGTGTTTTTTAACGTCTTTCTGTCCCCAGCAAACTGACTTGCCTCTAACAAAAGCCAGTTAATAGAAGTGCCATGTAGGGGGAGGGGAGATGGAAAACTTTTCGAAGAAACACGGATATCCCAGCATACGTTAAGAACATTATAAAGAAGACAGGGACAGCGTCTGACTCATCATTTCTGAGGGGAGCTTCCAATGGGAAGGGAAAAAAAGATTGGGTCCTTCATGCATAGAATATGCGTGTATTATCCTGTGATGGAGACTTGATATCCTTGGAGGATCTGATTTGGAACTTGTTTGAGACTCCATGAGAACTGTACTATCCTGATAATAAACACTTTTCTTACCTGTGTTGGACTCTTGGTTCTTGTTTTGAGGCGGAGTCTTATGTATCACAGGATGGCCAAGAAACTGGCTGAATCCAAGGGAGACCTAGAACTTTTACATCTCTGCAGCTGGGGTTATAGGCTGGAGCAATATCAACCTGAGGCCTTCAGCCTTGGGGCCAGCACTGCACTGAGCTATTGCCCCCATGTCAGACCCTTGACAATCACTTTTGAATAGACAGAGCACAACCGTTACTGTTTTTAAGATTTTTGAGACAGAGTTTCCCAGTGTAACCCTGGCTGTCCTGGAAATTGCTTTGTAGACCAGGCTGGCCTCAAACTCAGAGATCTGCGTGCCTTTGCCTCCCGAGTTGCTTGGTGTGTGCCACCAAGCTCAGAAAGATTTATTTTACTTTTATGTATATGAATATTTTGCCTGTGTGTATGTACATATACCCTATGCGTGCCTGCTGGGTCCCCTGGACTGTGAGAGCCACCAGATGGGTGTTAGTAACCGAACCTGGGTCCTCTGTAAGAGCAACAAGTCCTCTCAAACACTGAGCCATCTCTCCAGGCCCAAGCAAGACTGTTTTGAAATGTTTTGTATGCATGCTCGCTCATTTTTTTCAACCCAGAATTGGGAATGCCTAAAAAAAAAAGGTACAGTTGTATACCTGTGGGCTTATAGCCACAGATTCAACCAACCCGAGGCTAAAAATATTTTTTAAAAAGTTACATCTGTACCGAGCACATACTGTGTCTGTGTTTGTCCCTTTGTGGCCGTGTGTGCTGCAGCACACAGATAGGTGGAGATCGGAGGACGGCTTCAGCAGGGAGCCAGTTCTCTTCCCAGATGTGGGCCCCACACATCGAACTTTCGTTATCAGGCTTAGCAGCAAGCACCCTTGCCCACTGAGCCATTTTGGCAGCTCATCTACATTGTTTTTTCAGTCTTTATTGACTCCAGAATTTACCTTTTTGTCTAGCTTAGCTGGGTGGCCAGCTTCTAGGGTGTCTGTCTCTCTCCCTGAGAGGTGGGTTTGTACCTGTGCCACCCCGCCTGACTTCCACTGGCTGCTCGAAATTTGAATTCGAGATACTCGTATGTAGTAAACACTATCTACTGACACATTTCCCCAGCCCTTGACTATGTGTGTGGGTTGTATACACATTTTGAAACCTTGACATGTTAACTCATATTCATTTTAAAAGATTTTTTTCTAAAAATTATTTTTTTAAATTGTATGGAGGTGACCAATGTGATCTGAGTGCAGGTGTCCTCAGAGGCCAGAAGCATCAGATCCTTTGGAGCTGGAGTTACGGTTACATGCTACCTGACGGGGGAGCTGGTTGCCAAACTCAGGTCCTCTGGAAGAGAAGTGCTTTAAATCACTGAGCCATCTCTCCAGCCCCTACATTCAATTTTATTTCGGTTTTGTGTAGCCCTGGCTGTTCTGGAACTTGCTCTGTAGAACAGGCTGGCCTTGAACTCAGAGATTTCTGCCTGCCTGTCTTCCTCTGCCTCCCGAGTACTGGGATCAAAGGTGTGCGCCATCACCACCCAGCCAATTTTAATTTTTAAGATATACTTATTTTATGAGTGTTTTCCCCTCAGGCACGTAAATACGGTGTGTTCATCTAGCACTCTTCTGAGCTTTCTAGCACCTGCATCCGATTTTAACCTACATGTGTTTTAAGGCTTTTACAAAGACCGAAAGGTGGGCTGGAGAGATGGCTCAGCAGTTAAGAGCACTGGTTATTCTTCCAGATTGGTCCTGAGTTCAATTCCCAGCATCCATGTGGTGGTTCACAACCATCTACAATGAGATCTGGTTTCTTCTTCTGGCGTGCAGGCAGAACAGTGTATACATAATATATCTTTTTAAAAAAAAGACCAAAAGGTGAGGAATATGTTCTTTTATTTGACAACAATAATTAGATGAAGGTTTTTGGCTGAGTAACAATCTTCATGTAATATACCAAATGAACACATATGAGATTGCTTGACTCTATACTTTATAGTCTCTAAGATCTGTGATCATCGTATGGAGATGAAAATCCAAGCTATGTCAGTACAGCAATCCTTTCAAACCCTCTAACAAGTCCAAGTGCAGAAAAAGTTATAAATGTGGGCAGTTCAAAACTGGATCTGTTGAGAAAGCCTTTGTTTTTCTTATACCAAGATGTCCCCTTACTGACATGCTGCCTCTTGGCAATCTTAATTCCCAGAAACATTTCTTTAAAACAGTCTGAGGTGAGTAGGTAAGCTGCTTCCAGGTTGGTCATGTTCCCTTTGAGTGAGAGTTTCTGTACAGCTCACCTCACGTCACAACAAGAACACAGAGTATAACGGGGGAAGAGGCCACAGCACCACAGTTTAAAACATGCAAAATAGTTAGTACAGGCTGCTGCCAGCAAACAAAAGAGCTAATACGATTCTCACCGAGTTGCATGGATCAGTTCTTCCATATTGTTTACAAACATGGATCTTGAATTACCAGACCATACGGCTAGTGTAGCTGTCTTGGTCAACAATACTAGCTTCAGCTTGGTAACTTTTACTATGGATATACCTGTGAAATTGTTGGGTAGACAGAAGACAGGCATTAGCAGGCATGGAGGCCACTGAGGATGGACCCGTCCCTCAGCATCAGCGTTGAATGCCATCTCCCATTTCCTTGGTAAGCAAGGGAATCATAAGCTTAATGAAATGGAAACATGTCTGCCTGGACCAACATGGCGGTCTACTCTTGATGGAGACCGTCATCCATGCAGTCTTGCGCGGACCTCCATCTCTGAAGCTTCTTCCTGGTTTGGACCCTGACTCAATAAGAAATACTTTCTTCCTCTTCTCTGTCTCCTTTCTCCTGGCAGCTGGCAACACTTCCAGCATGCCTGTCCTGTTTTTCTTTCAAAACTGCAGTAAAATGGTCATCAAGCTTCCTTCTGAATTCTCTTAGCACATTACTTGTGAGACCCATAAAGAGCCAATAATGCTGATTCTCTGTCAACATACCCATATATTCAAATATCTAATTTTAAAATATTCCTCAAACAAAAATTAGGGTTGGGCATGGTGGTGCATGCCTTTAATCCAGCACTCCTGAGGCAGAGACAAGCAGATCTCTGTGACTTTGAGGTCAGCCAAGTTTACTTAATGGGTTCCAGGACAGGCACAGGCGGGCTACATAGTGAGACCTTGTCTCAAAAAAAAAAAAAAAAAAAAAAAAACCCAAAAATTAAACAAATGTATTATTAGCAGAATAGCAGAATTATTTCAACATTGGACAAAATACATAGCATTTCATTTGAACATAGGCCCAGAATTCGTGCAAAAAGATCTTTACATAAGACAATCCTAAAATTAATCTTTGGAATTTATATTTTAGGTCTGCCTAGCAAAAAACTGTTTGGAGATTTTTGAGTACTTAATGAAAGCACATATTAAACAATTTAGTCATCCTTTAGGCTGTAAGTTTTCTCTCTTGTAAATCCTGTGAGATTTTTTTTCTCAGCTTCAACACGGTCCATAACTATGCTGGAAACACAAATACACACCTGTGTCTTTTCATGAGGACAGAATTTACCAAACAGTAAGTCACAAGGTTCAGCAGTTTCCTGTCATTTTTTCTGTTCACACTGTTTTAATGATGTATGTATGTGTGTGTTTTCTATGTGGGGGTCTGTGCATGTGAGCGCAGGCACCTAGAGAGGCCAGGGGTGCCAAATCCGCTGGGGTTAGAGTTACAGGCAATTAATTGTGAGCCATCTGATGTGGGTGCTGGGGACTGACTTCCTTCATTAATTATCTCTCCAAGTCTAGTTAAACAGTCTCTGCCATATAATCTGTCTACCTTGGTATTCTGGCCGAGGTGAACACAGGTTCTTTCATTCTAACCTTAATTACTAGTGTTAACTCTCATACCGCACAGCACAGGGCTCGCAGCAAACACATCTATAGACATTTGCACAGGTTACAGAATGAGCTGTAGCAGAGTTCAAGGGGTTTCAGAAGTGGAGTGAGAAAGGGTCTGTATTGATGTCATATGAACCAGACCGGTGCTGCTGCTAGAGCTGCAAACAGCGGGAAACAGGTCGGGAACTAGAAATGACTGCTCAGAAACAGCTAGGTGAGTAGGGGGCAGGCAGTTGAGTAGGCTGTGTCCACAGCAGGAGACAGAACCAAACTGAAACTCAAGGATATTCAATGGGTAGTTGGGAGTCCTTGGTCCTTGACAGGCACCGTAGGTATCAGATGACCTGTTGAGGTCCATACCATCTTGGTGTTAGGATTCTGTCAGTTTATGGAGTTGAGACATGGGAGTTGCAGCCTTTCCTTAGTTTGATGAATCTAACAAGCTCTTGGATCTGGTTTTCCTGAGATGGTTCTAACAAGTCCGTGTGCCCCAACAGATTCAAATCTCCCTAATAGACTCACAGCATTACTCCCTTCCTGGTCCCAGGAATAAGTTCTTTGTCAGTCTGTGCTGAATGGATGGTGCAGTTTCTGTCCACCCAGGGGCTGCTGTCACAGCTCTCTCTCAAAACATTTTGTAAAGGCATGCCAAGAAGTTAAAAAAAAAAAAAGCAAAAATGAAATGGCTAGATTTTGTTGTTTTCAGAGCTGTCAGTGGCAGAGTGTTTTGCTCCAAGATGATTTAGATACTTTCACAGTAGCCATAGGAAAGACTTCGTGTACTTTACAGTCATGTTACAACAGTAACCTCCCTGATACCCCTGTCTCCCAAACTCAAATGGTTCTATGGAGCTGTACTGGCTGAGCACAACCCAAGAAGCCTTCCCTGTCAGAGGCCAGATATCCAAACGGTTTGAGACCCACCATACAAATGGCTAATAGTTAAAAAATAGTTCTACAGAAGTGAAACAGCTCAGAAGAACCGAGAAAGACAAAGGCAGTCACCAAACGAGGTCACCAAAAATCGTTCCAAAGGAACCCAAAGTGCTCAAAAGAGCCCAGGACAAAATGGAAGGCAAAGTGTGAGGTACAGCAATT